AGTCATGGATCTAGAGTTCGGAGACTAACCAACCCAAAGCCCAAATGTTGGCTTTGACGCTGCTAAGCTTAAACTACAAAGAAAACAAAATGCAAAGAACATGTACAATTCTTTTGAAATGTGTTCTTCGGGTATATAAAGCCAAGAGATGGTTGATAATTCATCATAAAATAGTTGGCAAAATAACAATATAGTATGTAATTGAGACGGTGCAATTGTGCAAATAACAATTATTCATGCTACTAGAAGAAAAGCATATCATTTTTCAACCACCAAGTAGCATTACAAGGTAATCACAATCATGTTCATCAAACCAGCACAATTAAATAAAGACTTACAAATGGGAGCCAGTAAAGGGATCCCCCAACCAATCAACAAGGAAACAGAGTTCCTTTTGATTGCAACGATGTCCCCCCTATAGTGACATGACCATTTATATCGATAAAGGACACCTAACAACACAAGCAGCCAACGTAGATAATCCTTCACTACCATGACATCAAAACGCACCTGTAGAAAGAGAAGCATCATACTTCATAATGTAAACCTTGCATTTAACCCAGGACTACTCTTAGATTTTGTCAAGCTTCTCAGCCTTGACTACAGGGTTGGCTTTAGCAATGGCATTACGGCCAGCAGATTGATAATCAAAAGGACAGTTATGCATCTCAGAGTAACGATGAACTCCACAGAAGAGATGTCCACATCTGCATTCAAACCCTGTTAAACCAACACGCTTCTTGCAAGTGTTGCACCTATTGGGGCCGTCTTTCTTCTTGGTCAGAGATAACTCATTGGATGTCAAATCACAGGATTGTTCTGCTGCAGCGATCTTAGGCATTTTTCCTGATTGCACACCCAGAATAGTGTCCACAACTGGCTCTTTACCATTTCCACTAGAACCGCCATTCACAATGCTTTCAATCGATGATGCTGCCAGTTGGGCCTGTTCCTGCTTCAGGATCATGGCCTTGTGGCACTTGGAGCACATATTCATTGTAGCTGCGCTTCCAAAAAAGCCACAGTTGTTGATGCAGAGGATGGGGCCTTCTGGAGCCTGGCATCCAGTCTCATCATGAGACTCCATCTTCTCCAATCTCCTGCCAAAAAACCAATTTAATTTAGTAGTTTTTAAAGGTCCTCCTTTCTCCCTCAAACTACTTTAATAACTATTACATACAGAAACTTAAGCATCAGCGGGCAAATACAGGCAACTCTGTGCAAGGGACAGAAGAAGATAGACAGCCAAAGTAATTAGGCACCAAGGACCTTATTTCACCACACTTACAGCCCAGATCAAGGCGCAGCATCACTGATGATTCCAATTACCATAGGTAACACACATGATTAGTATAGTACTTGAATGAGAGTCCTTGAGAATACCGATTGAGCCTTATCTGACCTTACTACCAGACAGAAGCAGGCATAACAAAATAAAGGGTGATGGCAGAAAACATTGCACAACAGCATCAATACAACAAAAGCCAGGGAACGAAAAGGAAAGCATTGGCAGTAAAAGACCAGGACTACAAATTCTACCCCATGTCCTCGAACACCTTGCCACTACCATCCATGTAATCAATGTTTAAGAGCCAATCCACCCAAATCATATACTCAAAACGTATTTGATATCATAATCAGCATGGACTTACATGTCCACTGGTTCAGAAAATGGCAATTTCAGTAAATAACGCATCACATGCAGTTGGATACACAAAAACATCTACTTGCATAAAATCAAAGCTACAGGCATAGAATCAAAGCTACAGGCCAATCCCCCAGATCTTACTCGTCCCAAAATCAAGATAAATTTGCATCACTTTGTTAATTTTCACATATCCTATAAGGTCGGAAACTAAAGATGCAAAATTTATGTATCAATTAAGATTTAAAGACCATTAAAGAACAACAAATCAAACCTGAGGGGAAAGAAAAAAAAGTTAAAAACCACAGTAAATAGCAGTATAGCCAGTTTAAACAGAGAATTTTGATTTTCATAAAAACGAATAAGAAAGATGAAAACTTTTAGATGCATTCAAAATAATTTCCCAAATCCCTAAATACCCAATTGACCCCAAAACTCCCTCATCACATATCGATTAATTACAACAAGAATTAC